AGCTGTAATGTCAGTAGTCGCATATGTTTGATTTTTGGTTTGCTTGTAGGGCGCAGGCACCCACATTCAGTGAGCCAGAAAATTTGGCACTGCTGTGAATAGTTTAGTCGCAAAGTGAAGATTCACGGGTAAAAAGCCCCAAACTTGGAGATAGGGTATTATTCAGCTTTCAGCAGCCGTGGGCGAGTTCTTTAGAGAAATGTGGGTCTTTTTCTGGGTGCCCTTGTCTATGTCCAGCTACACAACGAGATGAGGATGGTCATTGTCATTTTCTGAGCTGCGAACGGGCAGAAAGGTGAGAAAATGTCGGATTTTGACCATTTGTGCTCAACTTTCAATTTCAACGTACCTCTCTATAACATGACCCGGCTGTAATGTCAGTAGTCACATTTGTTTGATTTTTGGTTTGCTTGTAGGGCGCAGGCACCCACATTCAGTGACCCAGAAAATTTGGCACTGCTGTGAATAGTTTAGTCGCAAAGTGAAGATTCACGGGTAAAAAGCCCCAAACTTGGAGATAGGTTATTATTCAGCTTTCAGCAGCCGTGGGCGAGCTCTTTAGAGAAATGTGGGTCTTTTTCTGGGTGCCCTTGTCTATGTCTAGCTACACAACGAGATGAGGATGGTCATTGTCATTTTCTGAGCTGCGAACGGGCAGAAAGGTGAGAAAATGTCGGATTTTGACCATTTGTGGTCACCTTTCAATTTCAACGTACCTCTCTATAACATGACCCAGCTGTAATGTCAGTAGTCGCATTTGTTTGATTTTTGGTTTGCTTGTAGGGTGCAGGCACCCACATTCAGTGAGCCAGAAAATTTGGCACTGCTGTGAATAGTTTAGTCGCAAAGTGAAGATTCACGGGTGAAAAGCCCCAAACTTGGAGATAGGTTATTATTCAGCTTTCAGCAGCCGTGGGCGAGCTCTTGAGAGAAATGTGGGTCTTTATCTGGTTGCCCTTGTCTATGTAGAGCTACACAACGAGATGAGGATGGTCATTGTCATTTTCTAAGCTGCGAACGGGCAGAAAGGTGAGAAAATGTCGGATTTTGACCATTTGTGCTCACCTTTCAATTTCAACAGACCTCTCTATAACATGACCCAGCTGTAATGTCAGTAGTCGCATTTGTTTGATTCTTGGTTTGCTTGTAGGGCGCAGGCACCCACATTCAGTGACCGAGAAAATTTGGCACTGCTGTGAATAGTTTAGTCGCAAAGTGAAGATTCACGGGTAAAGAGCCCCAAACTTGGAGATAGGGTATTATTCAGCTTTCAGCAGCCGTGGGCGAGTTCTTTAGAGAAATGTGGGTCTTTTTCTGGGTGCCCTTGTCTATGTCCAGCTACACAACGAGATGAGGATGGTCATTGTCATTTTCTGAGCTGCGAACGGGCAGAAAGGTGAGAAAATGTCGGATTTTGACCATTTGTGGTCACCTTTCAATTTCCACGTACCTCTCTATAACATGAGCCAGCTGTAATGTCAGTAGTCGCATATGTTTGATTTTTGGTTTGCTTGTAGGGCGCAGGCACCCACATTCAGTGAGCCAGAAAATTTGGCACTGCTGTGAATAGTTTAGTCGCAAAGTGAAGATTCACGGGTAAAAAGCCCCAAACTTGGAGATAGGTTATTATTCAGCTTTCAGCAGCCTTGGGCGAGTTCTTTAGAGAAATGTGGGTCTTTTTCTGGGTGCCCTTGTCTATGTCCAGCTACACAACGAGATGAGGATGGTCATTGTCATTTTCTGAGCTGCGAACGGGCAGAAAGGTGAGAAAATGTCGGATTTTGACCATTTGTGCTCACCTTTCAATTTCCACGTACCTCTCTATAACATGAGCCAGCTGTAATGTCAGTAGTCGCATATGTTTGATTTTTGGTTTGCTTGTAGGGCGCAGGCACCCACATTCAGTGACCCAGAAAATTTGGCACTGCTGTGAATAGTTTAGTCGCAAAGTGAAGATTCACGGGTAAAAAGCCCCAAACTTGGAGATAGGGTATTATTCAGCTTTCAGCAGCCGTGGGCGAGTTCTTTAGAGAAATGTGGGTCTTTTTCTGGGTGCCCTTGTCTATGTCCAGCTACACAACGAGATGAGGATGGGCATTGTCATTTTCTGAGCTGCGAACGGGCAGAAAGGTGAGAAAATGTCGGATTTTGACCATTTGTGCTCACCTTTCAATTTCAACGTACCTCTCTATAACATGAGCCAGCTGTAATGTCAGTAGTCGCATATGTTTGATTTTTGGTTTGCTTGTAGGGCGCAGGCACCCACATTCAGTGAGCCAGAAAATTTGGCACTGCTGTGAATAGTTTAGTCGCAAAGTGAAGATTCACGGGTAAAAAGCCCCAAACTTGGAGATAGGGTATTATTCAGCTTTCAGCAGCCGTGGGCGAGTTCTTTAGAGAAATGTGGGTCTTTTTCTGGGTGCCCTTGTCTATGTCCAGCTACACAACGAGATGAGGATGGTCATTGTCATTTTCTGAGCTGCGAACGGGCAGAAAGGTGAGAAAATGTCGGATTTTGACCATTTGTGCTCAACTTTCAATTTCAACGTACCTCTCTATAACATGACCCGGCTGTAATGTCAGTAGTCACATTTGTTTGATTTTTGGTTTGCTTGTAGGGCGCAGGCACCCACATTCAGTGACCCAGAAAATTTGGCACTGCTGTGAATAGTTTAGTCGCAAAGTGAAGATTCACGGGTAAAAAGCCCCAAACTTGGAGATAGGTTATTATTCAGCTTTCAGCAGCCGTGGGCGAGCTCTTTAGAGAAATGTGGGTCTTTTTCTGGGTGCCCTTGTCTATGTCTAGCTACACAACGAGATGAGGATGGTCATTGTCATTTTCTGAGCTGCGAACGGGCAGAAAGGTGAGAAAATGTCGGATTTTGACCATTTGTGGTCACCTTTCAATTTCAACGTACCTCTCTATAACATGACCCAGCTGTAATGTCAGTAGTCGCATTTGTTTGATTTTTGGTTTGCTTGTAGGGTGCAGGCACCCACATTCAGTGAGCCAGAAAATTTGGCACTGCTGTGAATAGTTTAGTCGCAAAGTGAAGATTCACGGGTGAAAAGCCCCAAACTTTGAGATAGGTTATTATTCAGCTTTCAGCAGCCGTGGGCGAGTTCTTTAGAGAAATGTGGGTCTTTTTCTGGGTGCCCTTGTCTATGTCCAGCTACACAACGAGATGAGGATGGTCATTGTCATTTTCTGAGCTGCGAACGGGCAGAAAGGTGAGAAAATGTCGGATTTTGACCATTTGTGGTCACCTTTCAATTTCCACGTACCTCTCTATAACATGAGCCAGCTGTAATGTCAGTAGTCGCATATGTTTGATTTTTGGTTTGCTTGTAGGGCGCAGGCACCCACATTCAGTGACCCAGAAAATTTGGCACTGCTGTGAATAGTTTAGTCGCAAAGTGAAGATTCACGGGTAAAAAGCCCCAAACTTGAAGATAGGTTATTATTCAGCTTTCAGCAGCCGTGGGCGAGCTCTTGAGAGAAATGTGGGTCTTTATCTGGTTGCCCTTGTCTATGTAGAGCTACACAACGAGATGAGGATGGTCATTGTCATTTTCTAAGCTGCAAACGGGCAGAAAGGTGAGAAAATGTCGGATTTTGACCATGTGTGCTCACCTTTCAATTTCAACAGACCTCTCTATAACATGACCCAGCTGTAATGTCAGTAGTCGCATTTGTTTGATTCTTGGTTTGCTTGTAGGGCGCAGGCACCCACATTCAGTGACCCAGAAAATTTGGCACTGCTGTGAATAGTTTAGTCGCAAAGTGAAGATTCACGGGTAAAAAGCCCCAAACTTGGAGATAGGGTATTATTCAGCTTTCAGCAGCCGTGGGCGAGTTCTTTAGAGAAATGTGGGTCTTTTTCTGGGTGCCCTTGTCTATGTCCAGCTACACAACGAGATGAGGATGGTCATTGTCATTTTCTGAGCTGCGAACGGGCAGAAAGGTGAGAAAATGTCGGATTTTGACCATGTGTGCTCACCTTTCAATTTCAACGTACCTCTCTATAACATGGGCCAGCTGTAATGTCAGTAGTCGCATATGTTTGATTTTTGGTTTGCTTGTAGGGCGCAGGCACCCACATTCAGTGACCCAGAAAATTTGGCACTGCTGTGAATAGTTTAGTCGCAAAGTGAAGATTCACGGGTAAAAAGCCCCAAACTTGGAGATAGGGTATTATTCAGCTTTCAGCAGCCGTGGGCGAGTTCTTTAGAGAAATGTGGGTCTTTTTCTGGGTGCCCTTGTCTATGTCCAGCTACACAACGAGATGAGGATGGGCATTGTCATTTTCTGAGCTGCGAACGGGCAGAAAGGTGAGAAAATGTCGGATTTTGACCATTTGTGGTCACCTTTCAATTTCAACGTACCTCTCTATAACATGAGCCAGCTGTAATGTCAGTAGTCGCATATGTTTGATTTTTGGTTTGCTTGTAGGGCGCAGGCACCCACATTCAGTGAGCCAGAAAATTTGGCACTGCTGTGAATAGTTTAGTCGCAAAGTGAAGATTCACGGGTAAAAAGCCCCAAACTTGGAGATAGGGTATTATTCAGCTTTCAGCAGCCGTGGGCGAGTTCTTTAGAGAAATGTGGGTCTTTTTCTGGGTGCCCTTGTCTATGTCCAGCTACACAACGAGATGAGGATGGGCATTGTCATTTTCTGAGCTGCGAACGGGCAGAAAGGTGAGAAAATGTCGGATTTTGACCATTTGTGCTCACCTTTCAATTTCCACGTACCTCTCTATAACATGAGCCAGCTGTAATGTCAGTAGTCGCATATGTTTGATTTTTGGTTTTCTTGTAGGGCGCAGGCACCCACATTCATTGACCCAGAAAATTTGGCACTGCTGTGAATAGTTTAGTCGCAAAGTGAAGATTCACGGGTAAAAAGCCCCAAACTTGGAGATAGGTTATTATTCAGCTTTCAGCAGCCGTGGGCGAGCTCTTTAGAGAAATGTGGGTCTTTATCTGGTTGCCCTTGTCTATGTCCAGCTACACAACGAGATGAGGATGGTCATTGTCATTTTCTAAGCTGCGAACGGGCAGAAAGGTGAGAAAATGTCGGATTTTGACCATTTGTGCTCACCTTTCAATTTCAACGTACCTCTCTATAACATGACCCGGCTGTAATGTCAGTAGTCGCATTTGTTTGATTTTTGGTTTGCTTGTAGGGCGCAGGCACCCACATTCAGTGACCCAGAAAAGTTGGCACTGCTGTGAATAGTTTAGTCGCAAAGTGAAGATTCACGGGTAAAAAGCCCCAAACTTGGAGATAGGGTATTATTCAGCTTTCAGCAGCCGTGGGCGAGTTCTTTAGAGAAATGTGGGTCTTTTTCTGGGTGCCCTTGTCTATGTCCAGCTACACAACGAGATGAGGATGGTCATTGTCATTTTCTGAGCTGCGAACGGGCAGAAAGGTGAGAAAATGTCGGATTTTGCCCATTTGTGCTCACCTTTCAATTTCAACGTACCTCTCTATAACATGGGCCAGCTGTAATGTCAGTAGTCGCATATGTTTGATTTTTGGTTTGCTTGTAGTAGGCACTTCAGGCGGTTTTTTCAAAACCAGAAATACTCGTATTTCTTTCTTGTATCCGATTCAGATAGGTTTAGGAAGACTCCACAGAAAATTTGAAGCAAAAAGAATAACTTGGCACAGAGATATAGCCATCCAAAGTCGGAGAATTGAATAACGGCAATTTCAGTATTTCGACGGCACCAGCAGCATATCAGAAATTGGTAGGACTTGCTTCAGTGTCTATAGTGGCAAAATTCCAGGCTCGCTCGAAGCAGGTCAAAATAACCAGATGAATGCAGAAACAGCATGGTTTGGAAAAACTTCGCATTTTTCATCCGTCCGGCAGCTCAGACGAAGATATCGGGTGTGGTCACCATGGCAACTCCATAGCAACTCCATCGCAACAGCATGAAAACAGTGCAGAGAAGCCTTTGGAAAAGCATAAGATGAGACTTTGAGGTAAGATAAAGTAACTACAATAATTCAGTGCCAGAACACATTGTTGCTACATGTACAGTACTGACGTGGTGATGAGTACAGAAGAACAATGAGCCACAGACGGAGCAAACTAGAATTTTACAGAGTATTTGACGGAAAGAAATGACAAACTATTACATGTAGAACATCGTTTGCAAATGTTTGGGACTACTGAAACTTCAGCAACTCCAGCATGAGAGATTTTGTGCATAGAGTGTGTGCTGGATTCTTGGTATTATATCACCGTCAATGCTTTTCTTGGTCGCTGGAAGCCACCTGCTGATCAGCTGACGATTTGTTCCAAGCAGGCCGTTTTGATGTCAGCTCTCTTGGTCCAGTCGCCGAAGTATATACTGTCCTACTCGTTGCCTGCAGGAGAGGACGACTGCTCCGATGCGACTCCAATAATACCTGGCAATATTAATTTTTCTTCTTGCGCAGCCATGCGCATGGGCTCCGACGAACAAGGACTACTGCCGGGAGGACGCCTGCCGCGGCTCGCTTTTAATAACACCTCGCATTATTTCTTCTTGCGCAGCAATGCGCAAAGTGTTGGACAAACGAGGACAACTGATTCCGAAAGGAAATACGACGCTGAAGACGATGAGCTACATGGCAAATGCGTGCAATCAAGTGAAATGCCCGAAAAATCCTTGCCGATTTTACTCGAACTGTACGTGAGTTCAAAAAATTGCCGCATCATGACGTATGTGGGCTCAAACGAAAGCTGAGGGCCTCAGCTACACGCTGCGCCACACGAGAAGGCCCTGCGCAGATTCCGTGCAGCTACAGATCGATCTATGCATGCGCCTTTCCGTGGTGCCACGCATGTACGCGATTCAGCGTTAGCACTTTTTGACAGGTCGTGTCACGTGACTGAAGTGCCTACTTGTAGGGCGCAGTCACCCACATTCAGTGAGCCAGAAAATTTGGCACTGCTGTGAATAGTTTAGTCGCAAAGTGAAGATTCACGGGTAAAAAGCCCCAAACTTGGAGATAGGTTATTATTCAGCTTTCAGCAGCCTTGGGCGAGTTCTTTAGAGAAATGTGGGTCTTTTTCTGGGTGCCCTTGTCTATGTCCAGCTACACAACGAGATGAGGATGGTCATTGTCATTTTCTGAGCTGCGAACGGGCAGAAAGGTGAGAAAATGTCGGATTTTGACCATTTGTGGTCACCTTTCAATTTCCACGTACCTCTCTATAACATGAGCCAGCTGTAATGTCAGTAGTCGCATATGTTTGATTTTTGGTTTGCTTGTAGGGCGCAGGCACCCACATTCAGTGACCCAGAAAATTTGGCACTGCTGTGAATAGTTTAGTCGCAAAGTGAAGATTCACGGGTAAAAAGCCCCAAACTTGGAGATAGGGTATTATTCAGCTTTCAGCAGCCGTGGGCGAGTTCTTTAGAGAAATGTGGGTCTTTTTCTGGGTGCCCTTGTCTATGTCCAGCTACACAACGAGATGAGGATGGGCATTGTCATTTTCTGAGCTGCGAACGGGCAGAAAGGTGAGAAAATGTCGGATTTTGACCATTTGTGCTCACCTTTCAATTTCAACGTACCTCTCTATAACATGAGCCAGCTGTAATGTCAGTAGTCGCATATGTTTGATTTTTGGTTTGCTTGTAGGGCGCAGGCACCCACATTCAGTGACCCAGAAAATTTGGCACTGCTGTGAATAGTTTAGTCGCAAAGTGAAGATTCACGGGTAAAAAGCCCCAAACTTGGAGATAGGTTATTATTCAGCTTTCAGCAGCCGTGGGCGAGCTCTTTAGAGAAATGTGGGTCTTTATCTGGTTGCCCTTGTCTATGTCCAGCTACACAACGAGATGAGGATGGTCATTGTCATTTTCTAAGCTACGAACGGGCAGAAAGGTGAGAAAATGTCGGATTTTGACCATTTGTGCTCACCTTTCAATTTCAACAGACCTCTCTATAACATGACCCAGCTGTAATGTCAGTAGTCGCATTTGTTTGATTTTTGGTTTGCTTGTAGGGCGCAGGCACCCACATTCAGTGACCGAGAAAATTTGGCACTGCTGTGAATAGTTTAGTCGCAAAGTGAAGATTCACGGGTAAAAAGCCCCAAACTTGGAGATAGGGTATTATTCAGCTTTCAGCAGCCGTGGGCGAGTTCTTTAGAGAAATGTTGGTCTTTTTTTGGGTGCCCTTGTCTATGTCCAGCTACACAACGAGATGAGGATGGTCATTGTCATTTTCTGAGCTGCGAACGGGCAGAAAGGTGAGAAAATGTCGGATTTTGCCCATTTGTGCTCACCTTTCAATTTCAACGTACCTCTCTATAACATGGGCCAGCTGTAATGTCAGTAGTCGCATATGTTTGATTTTTGGTTTGCTTGTAGGGCGCAGGCACCCACATTCAGTGAGCCAGAAAATTTGGCACTGCTGTGAATAGTTTAGTCGCAAAGTGAAGATTCACGGGTAAAAAGCCCCAAACTTGGAGATAGGTTATTATTCAGCTTTCAGCAGCCTTGGGCGAGTTCTTTAGAGAAATGTGGGTCTTTTTCTGGGTGCCCTTGTCTATGTCCAGCTACACAACGAGATGAGGATGGTCATTGTCATTTTCTGAGCTGCGAACGGGCAGAAAGGTGAGAAAATGTCGGATTTTGACCATTTGTGCTCACCTTTCAATTTCCACGTACCTCTCTATAACATGAGCCAGCTGTAATGTCAGTAGTCGCATATGTTTGATTTTTGGTTTGCTTGTAGGGCGCAGGCACCCACATTCAGTGAGCCAGAAAATTTGGCACTGCTATGAATAGTTTAGTCGCAAAGTGAAGATTCACGGGTAAAAAGCCCCAAACTTGGAGATAGGTTATTATTCAGCTTTCAGCAGCCTTGGGCGAGTTCTTTAGAGAAATGTGGGTCTTTTTCTGGGTGCCCTTGTCCATGTCCAGCTACACAACGAGATGAGGATGGGCATTGTAATTTTCTGAGCTGCGAACGGGCAGAAAGGTGAGAAAATGTCGGATTTTGACCATTTGTGCTCACCTTTCAATTTCAACGTACCTCTCTATAACATGAGCCAGCTGTAATGTCAGTAGTCGCATATGTTTGATTTTTGGTTTGCTTGTAGGGCGCAGGCACCCACATTCAGTGACCCAGAAAATTTGGCACTGCTGTGAATAGTTTAGTCGCAAAGTGAAGATTCACGGGTAAAAAGCCCCAAACTTGGAGATAGGGTATTATTCAGCTTTCAGCAGCCGTGGGCGAGTTCTTTAGAGAAATGTGGGTCTTCTTCTGGGTGCCCTTGTCTATGTCCAGCTACACAACGAGATGAGGATGGTCATTGTCATTTTCTGAGCTGCGAACGGGCAGAAAGGTGAGAAAATGTCGGATTTTGACCATTTGTGCTCACCTTTCAATTTCAACGTACCTCTCTATAACATGAGCCAGCTGTAATGTCAGTAGTCGCATATGTTTGATTTTTGGTTTGCTTGTAGGGCGCAGGCACCCACATTCAGTGACCCAGAAAATTTGGCACTGCTGTGAATAGTTTAGTCGCAAAGTGAAGATTCACGGGTAAAAAGCCCCAAACTTGGAGATAGGGTATTATTCAGCTTTCAGCAGCCGTGGGCGAGTTCTTTAGAGAAATGTGGGTCTTCTTCTGGGTGCCCTTGTCTATGTCCAGCTACACAACGAGATGAGGATGGTCATTGTCATTTTCTGAGCTGCGAACGGGCAGAAAGGTGAGAAAATGTCGGATTTTGACCATTTGTGCTCACCTTTCAATTTCAACGTACCTCTCTATAACATGGGCCAGCTGTAATGTCAGTAGTCGCATATGTTTGATTTTTGGTTTGCTTGTGGGGCGCAGGCACCCACATTCAGTGAGCCAGAAAATTTGGCACAGCTGTGAATAGTTTAGTCGCAAAGTGAAGATTCACGGGTAAAAAGCCCCAAACTTGGAGATAGGTTATTATTCAGCTTTCAGCAGCCGTGGGCGAGTTCTTTAGAGAAATGTGGGTCTTTTTCTGGGTGCCCTTGTCTATGTCCAGCTACACAACGAGATGAGGATGGTCATTGTCATTTTCTGAGCTGCGAACGGGCAGAAAGGTGAGAAAATGTCGGATTTTGACCATTTGTGCTCACCTTTCAATTTCAACGTACCTCTCTATAACATGACCCGGCTGTAATGTCAGTAGTCACATTTGTTTGATTTTTGGTTTGCTTGTAGGGCGCAGGCACCCACATTCAGTGACCCAGAAAATTTGGCACTGCTGTGAATAGTTTAGTCGCAAAGTGAAGATTCACGGGTAAAAAGCCCCAAACTTGGAGATAGGGTATTATTCAGCTTTCAGCAGCCGTGGGCGAGTTCTTTAAAGAAATGTGGGTCTTTTTCTGGGTGCCCTTGTCTATGTCCAGCTACACAACGAGATGAGGATGGGCATTGTAATTTTCTGAGCTGCGAACGGGCAGAAAGGTGAGAAAATGTCGGATTTTGACCATTTGTGCTCACCTTTCAATTTCAACGTACCTCTCTATAACATGAGCCAGCTGTAATGTCAGTAGTCGCATATGTTTGATTTTTGGTTTGCTTGTAGGGCGCAGGCACCCACATTCAGTGACCCAGAAAATTTGGCACTGCTGTGAATAGTTTAGTCGCAAAGTGAAGATTCACGGGTAAAAAGCCCCAAACTTGGAGATAGGGTATTATTCAGCTTTCAGCAGCCGTGGGCGAGTTCTTTAGAGAAATGTGGGTCTTTTTCTGGGTGCCCTTGTCTATGTCCAGCTACACAACGAGATGAGGATGGTCATTGTCATTTTCTGAGCTGCGAACGGGCAGAAAGGTGAGAAAATGTCGGATTTTGCCCATTTGTGCTCACCTTTCAATTTCAACGTACCTCTCTATAACATGGGCCAGCTGTAATGTCAGTAGTCGCATATGTTTGATTTTTGGTTTGCTTGTGGGGCGCAGGCACCCACATTCAGTGAGCCAGAAAATTTGGCACTGCTGTGAATAGTTTAGTCGCAAAGTGAAGATTCACGGGTAAAAAGCCCCAAACTTGGAGATAGGTTATTATTCAGCTTTCAGCAGCCGTGGGCGAGTTCTTTAGAGAAATGTGGGTCTTTTTCTGGGTGCCCTTGTCTATGTCCAGCTACACAACGAGATGAGGATGGTCATTGTCATTTTCTGAGCTGCGAACGGGCAGAAAGGTGAGAAAATGTCGGATTTTGACCATTTGTGCTCACCTTTCAATTTCAACGTACCTCTCTATAACATGACCCGGCTGTAATGTCAGTAGTCACATTTGTTTGATTTTTGGTTTGCTTGTAGGGCGCAGGCACCCACATTCAGTGACCCAGAAAATTTGGCACTGCTGTGAATAGTTTAGTCGCAAAGTGAAGATTCACGGGTAAAAAGCCCCAAACTTGGAGATAGGTTATTATTCAGCTTTCAGCAGCCGTGGGCGAGCTCTTTAGAGAAATGTGGGTCTTTTTCTGGGTGCCCTTGTCTATGTCTAGCTACACAACGAGATGAGGATGGTCATTGTCATTTTCTGAGCTGCGAACGGGCAGAAAGGTGAGAAAATGTCGGATTTTGACCATTTGTGGTCACCTTTCAATTTCAACGTACCTCTCTATAACATGACCCAGCTGTAATGTCAGTAGTCGCATTTGTTTGATTGTTGGTTTGCTTGTAGGGTGCAGGCACCCACATTCAGTGACCCAGACAATTTGGCACTGCTGTGAATAGTTTAGTCGCAAAGTGAAGATTCACGGGTAAAAAGCCCCAAACTTGGAGATAGGGTATTATTCAGCTTTCAGCAGCCGTGGGCGAGTTCTTTAGAGAAATGTGGGTCTTTTTCTGGGTGCCCTTGTCTATGTCCAGCTACACAACGAGATTAGGGTGGTCATTGTCATTTTCTGAGCTGCGAACGGGCAGAAAGGTGAGAAAATGTCGGATTTTGACCATGTGTGCTCACCTTTCAATTTCAACGTACCTCTCTATAACATGGGCCAGCTGTAATGTCAGTAGTCGCATATGTTTGATTTTTGGTTTGCTTGTAGGGCGCAGGCACCCACATTCAGTGAGCCAGAAAATTTGGCACTGCTGTGAATAGTTTAGTCGCAAAGTGAAGATTCACGGGTAAAAAGCCCCAAACTTGGAGATAGGGTATTATTCAGCTTTCAGCAGCCGTGGGCGAGTTCTTTAGAGAAATGTGGGTCTTTTTCTGGGTGCCCTTGTCTATGTCCAGCTACACAACGAGATTAGGATGGTCATTGTCATTTTCTGAGCTGCGAACGGGCAGAAAGGTGAGAAAATGTCGGATTTTGACCATTTGTGCTCACCTTTCAATTTCAACGTACCTCTCTATAACATGAGCCAGCTGTAATGTCAGTAGTCGCATATGTTTGATTTTTGGTTTGCTTGTAGGGCGCAGGCACCCACATTCAGTGACCCAGAAAATTTGGCACTGCTGTGAATAGTTTAGTCGCAAAGTGAAGATTCACGGGTAAAAAGCCCCAAACTTGGAGATAGGTTATTATTCAGCTTTCAGCAGCCGTGGGCGAGTTCTTTAGAGAAATGTGGGTCTTTTTCTGGGTGCCCTTGTCTATGTCCAGCTACACAACGAGATGAGGATGGTCATTGTCATTTTCTGAGCTGCGAACGGGCAGAAAGCTGGGAAAATGTCGGATTTTGACCATTTGTGCTCACCTTTCAATTTCAACGTACCTCTCTATAACATGAGCCAGCTGTAATGTCAGTAGTCGCATATGTTTGATTTTTGGTTTGCTTGTAGGGCGCAGGCAGCCACATTCAGTGAGCCAGAAAATTTGGCACTGCTGTGAATAGTTTAGTCGCAAAGTGAAGATTCACGGGTAAAAAGCCCCAAACTTGGAGATAGGGTATTATTCAGCTTTCAGCAGCCGTGGGCGAGTTCTTTAGAGAAATGTGGGTCTTTTTCTGGGTGCCCTTGTCTATGTCCAGCTACACAACGAGATGAGGATGGGCATTGTCATTTTCTGAGCTGCGAACGGGCAGAAAGGTGAGAAAATGTCGGATTTTGACCATTTGTGCTCACCTTTCAATTTCAACGTACCTCTCTATAACATGAGCCAGCTGTAATGTCAGTAGTCGCATATGTTTGATTTTTGGTTTGCTTGTAGGGCGCAGGCACCCACATTCAGTGAGCCAGGAAATTTGGCACTGCTGTGAATAGTTTAGTCGCAAAGTGAAGATTCACGGGTAAAAAGCCCCAAACTTGGAGATAGGTTATTATTCAGCTTTCAGCAGCCGTGGGCGAGCTCTTTAGAGAAATGTAGGTCTTTATCTGGTTGCCCTTGTCTATGTCCAGCTACACAACGAGATGAGGATGGTCATTGTCATTTTCTAAGCGGCGAACGGGCAGAAAGGTGAGAAAATGTCGGATTTTGACCATTTGTGCTCACCTTTCAATTTCAACGGACCTCTCTATAACATGACCCAGCTGTAATGTCAGTAGTCGCATTTGTTTGATTTTGGGTTTGCTTGTAGGGCGCAGGCACCCACATTCAGTGACCCAGAAAATTTGGCACTGCTGTGAATAGTTTAGTCGCAAAGTGAAGATTCACGGGTAAAAAGCCGCAAACTTGGAGATAGGGTATTATTCAGCTTTCAGCAGCCGTGGGCGAGTTCTTTAGAGAAATGTGGGTCTTTTTCTGGGTGCCCTTGTCTATGTCCAGCTACACAACGAGATTAGGATGGTCATTGTCATTTTCTGAGCTGCGAACGGGCAGAAAGGTGAGAAAATGTCGGATTTTGACCATTTGTGCTCACCTTTCAATTTCAACGTACCTCTCTATAACATGAGCCAGCTGTAATTTCAGTAGTTGCATATGTTTGATTTTTGGTTTGCTTGTAGGGCGCAGGCACCCACATTCAGTGACCCAGAAAATTTGGCACTGCTGTGAATAGTTTAGTCGCAAAGTGAAGATTCACGGGTAAAAAGCCCCAAACTTGGAGATAGGTTATTATTCAGCTTTCAGCAGCCGTGGGCGAGTTCTTTAGAGAAATGTGGGTCTTTTTCTGGGTGCCCTTGTCTATGTCCAGATACACAACGAGATGAGGATGGTCATTGTCATTTTCTGAGCTGCGAACGGGCAGAAAGGTGAGAAAATGTCGGATTTTGCCCATTTGTGCTCACCTTTCAATTTCAACGTACCTCTCTATAACATGAGCCAGCTGTAATGTCAGTAGTCGCATATGTTTGATTTTTGGTTTGCTTGTAGGGCGCAGGCACCCACATTCAGTGAGCCAGAAAATTTGGCACTGCTGTGAATAGTTTAGACGCAAAGTGAAGATTCACGGGTAAAAAGCCCCAAACTTGGAGATAGGTTATTATTCAGCTTTCAGCAGCCTTGGGCGAGTTCTTTAGAGAAATGTGGGTCTTTTTCTGGGTGCCCTTGTCTATGTCCAGCTACACAACGAGATGAGGATGGTCATTGTCATTTTCTGAGCTGCGAACGGGCAGAAAGGTGAGAAAATGTCGGATTTTGACCATTTGTGGTCACCTTTCAATTTCAACGTACCTCTCTATAACATGAGCCAGCTGTAATGTCAGTAGTCGCATATGTTTGATTTTTGGTTTGCTTGTAGGGCGCAGGCACCCACATTCAGTGACCCAGAAAATTTGGCACTGCTGTGAATAGTTTAGTCGCAAAGTGAAGATTCACGGGTAAAAAGCCCCAAACTTGGAGATAGGTTATTATTCAGCTTTCAGCAGCCGTGGGCGAGTTCTTTAGAGAAATGTGGGTCTTTTTCTGGGTGCCCTTGTCTATGTCCAGCTACACAACGAGATGAGGATGGTCATTGTCATTTTCTGAGCTGCGAACGGGCAGAAAGGTGAGAAAATGTCGGATTTTGACCATTTGTGCTCACCTTTCAATTTCAACGTACCTCTCTATAACATGACCCGGCTGTAATGTCAGTAGTCGCATTTGTTTGATTTTTGGTTTGCTTGTAGGGCGCAGGCACCCACATTCAGTGACCCAGAAAATTTGGCACTGCTGTGAATAGTTTAGTCGCAAAGTGAAGATTCACGGGTAAAAAGCCCCAAACTTGGAGATAGGGTATTATTCAGCTTTCAGCAGCCGTGGGCGAGTTCTTTAGAGAAATGTGGGTCTTTTTCTGGGTGCCCTTGTCTATGTCCAGCTACACAACGAGATGAGGATGGTCATTGTCATTTTCTGAGCTGCGAACGGGCAGAAAGGTGAGAAAATGTCGGATTTTGCCCATTTGTGCTCACCTTTCAATTTCAACGTACCTCTCTATAACATGGGCCAGCTGTAATGTCAGTAGTCGCATATGTTTGATTTTTGGTTTGCTTGTAGGGCGCAGGCACCCACATTCAGTGAGCCAGAAAATTTGGCACTGCTGTGAATAGTTTAGTCGCAAAGTGAAGATTCACGGGTAAAAAGCCCCAAACTTGGAGATAGGTTATTATTCAGCTTTCAGCAGCCTTGGGCGAGTTCTTTAGAGAAATGTGGGTCTTTTTCTGGGTGCCCTTGTCTATGTCCAGCTACACAACGAGATGAGGATGGTCATTGTCATTTTCTGAGCTGCGAACGGGCAGAAAGGTGAGAAAATGTCGGATTTTGACCATTTGTGGTCACCTTTCAATTTCCACGTACCTCTCTATAACATGAGCCAGCTGTAATGTCAGTAGTCGCATATGTTTGATTTTTGGTTTGCTTGTAGGGCGCAGGCACCCACATTCAGTGACCCAGAAAATTTGGCACTGCTAAGAATAGTTTAGTCGCAAAGTGAAGATTCACGGGTAAAAAGCCCCAAACTTGGAGATAGGTTATTATTCAGCTTTCAGCAGCCGTGGGCGAGTTCTTTAGAGAAATGTGGGTCTTTTTCTGGGTGCCCTTGTCTATGTCCAGCTACACAACGAGATGAGGATGGTCATTGTCATTTTCTGAGCTGCGAACGGGCAGAAAGGTGAGAAAATGTCGGATTTTGACCATTTGTGCTCACCTTTCAATTTCAACGTACCTCTCTATAACATGACCCGGCTGTAATGTCAGTAGTCGCATTTGTTTGATTTTTGGTTTGCTTGTAGGGCGCAGGCAGCCACATTCAGTGAGCCAGAAAATTTGGCACTGCTGTGAATAGTTTAGTCGCAAAGTGAAGATTCACGGGTAAAAAGCCCCAAACTTGGAGATAGGGTATTATTCAGCTTTCAGCAGCCGTGGGCGAGTTCTTTAGAGAAATGTGGGTCTTTTTCTGGGTGCCCTTGTCTATGTCCAGCTACACAACGAGATGAGGATGGTCATTGTCATTTTCTGAGCTGCGAACGGGCAGAAAGGTGAGAAAATGTCGGATTTTGCCCATTTGTGCTCACCTTTCAATTTCAACGTACCTCTCTATAACATGGGCCAGCTGTAATGTCAGTAGTCGCATATGTTTGATTTTTGGTTTGCTTGTAGGGCGCAGGCACCCACATTCAGTGAGCCAGAAAATTTGGCACTGCTGTGAATAGTTTAGTCGCAAAGTGAAGATTCACGGGTAAAAAGCCCCAAACTTGGAGATAGGTTATTATTCAGCTTTCAGCAGCCTTGGGCGAGTTCTTTAGAGAAATGTGGGTCTTTTTCTGGGTGCCCTTGTCTATGTCCAGCTACACAACGAGATGAGGATGGTCATTGTCATTTTCTGAGCTGCGAACGGGCAGAAAGGTGAGAAAATGTCGGATTTTGACCATTTGTGCTCACCTTTCAATTTCAACGTACCTCTCTATAACATGAGCCAGCTGTAATGTCAGTAGTCGCATATGTTTGATTTTTGGTTTGCTTGTAGGGCGCAGGCACCCACATTCAGTGACCCAGAAAATTTGGCACTGCTGTGAATAGTTTAGTCGCAAAGTGAAGATTCACGGGTAAAAAGCCCCAAACTTGGAGATAGGTTATTATTCAGCTTTCAGCAGCCGTGGGCGAGCTCTTTAGAGAAATGTGGGTCTTTTTCTGGGTGCCCTTGTCTATGTCCAGCTACACAACGAGATGAGGATGGTCATTGTCATTTTCTAAGCTGCGAACGGGCAGAAAGGTGAGAAAATGTCGGATTTTGACCATTTGTGCTCACCTTTCAATTTCAACGGACCTCTCTATAACATGACCCAGCTGTAATGTCAGTAGTCGCATTTGTTTGATTTTTGGTTTGCTTATAGGGCGCAGGCACCCACATTCAGTGAGCCAGAAAATTTGGCACTGCTGTGAATAGTTTAGTCGCAAAGTGAAGATTCACGGGTAAAAAGCCCCAAACTTGGAGATAGGTTATTATTCAGCTTTCAGCAGCCGTGGGCGAGTTCTTTAGAGAAATGTGGGTCTTTTTTTGGGTGCCCTTGTCTATGTCCAGCTACACAACGAGATGAGGATGGTCATTGTCATTTTCTGAGCTGCGAACGGGCAGAAAGGTGAGAAAATGTCGGATTTTGACCATTTGTGCTCACCTTTCAATTTCAACGGACCTCTCTATAACATAACCCAGCTGTAATGTCAGTAGTCGCATTTGTTTGATTTTTGGTTTGCTTGTAGGGCGCAGGCACCCACATTCAGTGAGCCAGAAAATTTGGCACTGCTGTGAATAGTTTAGTCGCAAAGTGAAGATTCACGGGTAAAAAGCCCCAAACTTGGAGATACGGTATTATTCAGCTTTCAGCAGCCGTGGGCGAGTTCTTTAGAGAAATGTGGGTCTTTTTCTGGGTGCCCTTGTCCATGTCCAGCTACACAACGAGATGAGGATGGTCATTGTCATTTTCTGAGCTGCGAACGGGCAGAAAGGTGAGAAAATGTCGGATTTTGACCATTTGTGCTCACCTTTCAATTTCAACGTACCTCTCTATAACATGGGCCAGCTGTAATGTCAGTAGTCGCATATGTTTGATTTTTGGTTTGCTTGTGGGGCGCAGGCACCCACATTCAGTGAGCCAGAAAATTTGGCACTGCTGTGAATAGTTTAGTCGCAAAGTGAAGATTCACGGGTAAAAAGCCCCAAACTTGGAGATAGGTTATTATTCAGCTTTCAGCAGCCGTGGGCGAGTTCTTTAGAGAAATGTGGGTCTTTTTCTGGGTGCCCTTGTCTATGTCCAGCTACACAACGAGATGAGGATGGTCATTGTCATTTTCTGAGCTGCGAACGGGCAGAAAGGTGAGAAAATGTCGGATTTTGACCATTTGTGCTCACCTTTCAATTTCAACGTACCTCTCTATAACATGACCCGGCTGTAATGTCAGTAGTCGCATTTGTTTGATTTTTGGTTTGCTTGTAGGGCGCAGGCACCCACATTCAGTGACCCAGAAAATTTGGCACTGCTGTGAATAGTTTAGTCGCAAAGTGAAGATTCACGGGTAAAAAGCCCCAAACTTGGAGATGGGTTATTATTCAGCTTTCAGCAGCCGTGGGCGAGTTCTTTAGAGAAATGTGGGTCTTTTTCTGGGTGCCCTTGTCTATGTCCAGCTACACAACGACATGAGGATGGTCATTGTCATTTTCTGAGCTGCGAACGGGCAGAAAGGTGAGAAAATGTCGGATTTTGACCATTTGTGCTCACCTTTCAATTTCAACGTACCTCTCTATAACATGATCCGGCTGTAATGTCAGTAGTCGCATTTGTTTGATTTTTGGTTTGCTTGTAGGGCGCAGGCACCCACATTCAGTGACCCAGAAAATTTGGCACTGCTGTGAATAGTTTAGTCGCAAAGTGAAGATTCACGGGTAAAAAGCCCCAAACTTGGAGATGGGTTATTATTCAGCTTTCAGCAGCCGTGGGCGAGTTCTTTAGAGAAATGTGGGTCTTTTTCTGGGTGCCCTTGTCTATGTCCAGCTACACAACGAGATGAGGATGGTCATTGTCATTTTCTGAGCTGCGAACGGGCAGAAAGGTGAGAAAATGTCGGATTTTTACCATTTGTGCTCACCTTTCAATTTCAACGTACCTCTCTATAACTGGTGTTGGGCTGACTGCTCAGCGTTCTTTTTCTCTCTCTCTCCCTTTCTCTCCTGTCTCTCTTCTTCATCCTTCTACTCTACCTATCTCTGTCAACGCTTATCCTTGTGAGAAATGCCAGCCTGTAGCATGCTGGCTCGTAGTTCACCGACCCTCGCTAAAGCGAGAATTGCAACGTTCAATGTACGCGGCCTAACTTCAAATGTCAAGAAACAACAGCTAGCGAAAGACCTATTGTCCTACAGAGTGGACGTCTGCGGCCTCCAGGAGCTAAAAATTGCTGAGCCGTTTGACAGGTCTATCGACGACGGATACAGGCTTGTGGGCTTTGGCCAGGACGCGGGTCACCACGGAGGAATTGGATTCGCCGTGTCGAAATATTTCAACGAATTCCTGAGAAAACATAAAAAGCTGTCGGACCGAGTCGGCTACGCTGACTTCTCGCTGCCCGCAAAGAGCTCCTCAGAGACCTCTGTCGATGTGAGATTCGTTGTGGCGTATGGACCCACAGCCCCGTCGGCAGACAAGACCCCATCGCTGAGAGAAGATTTCTACGACTGCCTCTCTAAAGCATGGAATACTCCCAACAGCCGAACTCTGATGTTTGGTTTGGGCGATTTTAACAGCAAAGTCGGCACCAGCAAGACGCCCTGCATTGGTCTATACGGTAAAGGAGTGCGGAATAACAACGGCCAGGCGCTAGTTCAGTGGGCAAATTCGTGGGAAATTGTCCTTGCCAACACCCTTTTCCGTTATTCCATGCGTTACAGGACAACGTGGACTGGCTCAGTCACAAACAGAGATACTGGTGTAATCAGCAGAGTATACAATATGATTGATTTTATCGCAGTACCGGCTCGCTGCAGGCCCCTTATCAAACGTGCTCGCTCGTATGCAGGGACACTGACATCAAGCGACCATAAAATTGTCATCGCCGACATGGATTTCCAACGATTGTTCAAAGCTTATCGCTCAAACCCAAAAACAAAGAGGTCCGTTGGTCCATTGGCTGTACGGAGGCTTTCGTCGGACGCCACGGTGAGGCAAGACTACAAAGCAAAACTCAAAGAAAGCGTTTCCATCAGCCATACCAACCCTTGCTCAGAAGAAACTCATAAACATTCTCCATCTCAGAAATGGTCCAGCGCAGTAAATGGCACCCTGAAAGCGGCAGAGAGCAGTGTTGGCCATATGCACAGATCCACATCCGGGAGGTTAACTCTGCCCAACCAGGAAGTGGCACGCCTATCGGAGCAGCAGCGGGAGGTTCGGCTTCTTGCAGAGTCGGGTCGCCACTCCTTGGCAGAGCTAAAGAGGCAGCGGAACCAGATACAGCACAAGATCCGTTCCATTCAGCGGGCGGATGCCAATGAACGCCTCGACAGACTGGCAGAGAAGGTGGAGCAGGCACCTGACTCAGCACAGATGTTCCTTGCTGCTTCGGCCATGAAAAGTGGATCTCAGCCATCCAGTATCATGGTCAGCTCTGCTGATGGCCACATTTTGGCTTCAGATAAGCAGAAGGCAGAGCGCGTCACGGAGCACTTCAAGGATCTATTCTGTAGAGATCAATCAGCTGCTATCCAGAAGCCAGTCCCTCACCGGCTAAGTGTGGCAGTGTCTCCAGCGGAGGTGGAAACAGCGATGAAACGACTCAAAAACGGAAAGGCTTGTGGGCCGGACAAAGTCCCTGGAGAATTACTGAAGTATGGAACATCACAGCTATCCATCGTAGCGGCAGACATCATCAACCAAAGCGTAGCAGAGGGTGCCGACATGTCATCGTTCATCGGACTTGGCACATTGATTCCTTTACAAAAACCAAAAAAACCTAGGGGACCCGTGACTAGCCTGCGTCCCATTGTCCTCCTGAACACCATCCGAAAAGTTTTCTCCCTTGTAGTGCTCTGCCGAATCGCAAAGGACGTTGCTCGTTATGTTGGTCCAACTCAATCTGGCTTCAGACAAGGCCGAAGTACAACAGATGTGGTATGGACACAGCGATGGATTGCGGCCAAGGCGACTCGATACAACTGGGAATGCCACATGCTGGGGATTGACATGTCCCGTGCGTTCGACACGATCGATCGCACCAAACTGTTAGACGTCATGGCATTAGTGACTGGCCCCGATGAAGTGCGCATGATCCAGCACCTACTGTTCCACACACAAATATCAGTGAAAGTAGGAAAGGCAACTGCCAATCCGTTTCTCAGCACCATCGGCACCCCCCAGGGAGATGGCTTGAGCCCTGTTCTTTTTATTTGTTACCTGGAGGCAGCACTGCGCCAAGTGAGAGCAAACCTTCCCGAACGCCCTTTCGCCGACCGTCACATACCCGGAGAAACAGGTTACGCCGATGATGTGACATTGTACTCAACCAGTGAGGAGTGGCTGAAGCGAAGCCTCCCCATCATTAGCGCAGAACTCGGGGATTGGTCCCTTACAGTAAACGAGACCAAGACCGAATTCTTGCATCTGACATCAACTTCAGACTCCTGGCGGTCCAGCAGGCAGCTAGGGTCCCTCATTGGCGACAGTGAGGACCTGGAGCGGAGGAAAGACCTCGCTTCGAGTGCATACGGCAGGATGTATAGCCTCTGGCTGAGGCGTGGGAAGGTCAGTGAGCAGAGGCGCATCCGCCTGTATAATGCCCTGGTTCTGCCCGTCCTTTTGTATAACTGCGGCGCATGGGGGCTCACGGCAGCACAAGCAGAATCGCTTAACGTTTTCCACCGGAAGCAGCTCCGACGGCTCATTGGCATAGTCTACCCAGCCAGGATATCAAATACTGAGCTGTATGAGAGGTGCAACACGGAACCACTATCTGACATCGTGGACAGGAGAAGATGGCAGCTAACCGGCCATATTCTCCGTATGGACAGGGATGCGCCGCCATGGATCGCGCTGACGGGCTATTTTGCGGGAGATGCCAAGGCTGGGCGTGGACGTCCTAGGACATCCATTGCGACGCGCATCACAAGCGACTTACAGAGGAGGAACATCGACTTGAAGCGCAGCAGTCAGCTGGGGAATGTGAGGGCCATCGCTCTGGACAAGCCTACATGGAGAAATCTGGCCGACAATCCATGATCTGGCG